TTATCTTCCGTTTCCAACTCTTAGATGATCATAAATCTTACGCAAAACTTTTCTCTCGAAAACTTCTACGCCGACTCATCTGATGTTGTCATCGTCCATGCATCGGCACCATATAGAAGAGCGAGAGAGAGGACTTTACTTTTTAATTGCCTACTAAGTCCAACGCCAAGAAAGATTCTATATTGGATTTCCAGACTGACATTGTTATTGGTGTAGGTGTTTGCATCTTTATCAAGCCTGGAGAAAGTAAAAGTAACTGAGTACGCCAGTAGTTGTACACTCATATAGAATATTGTACCTTCTCTATTCAGCTCTGCAGCTCTTGTTATTCTCTCCAGCATCAAATTGAAAAAATCACAGGACAAAGAGTCACCCTGTCTGAAACCTCGTTCTGTGCCAAACGGCTCGGAGAGGTCCTTCCCAATTCTGACTGCGCTTCTGGTATTGTCTAGCGTCAGCGTACACAGCCGTATAAGTTTTGAGAGGATACCGAGTTCAGATATAACGGCATAAAGGCTGCTGTTTCAAATCTGAAAAGAGGTGATGGTCAATTTTGGAATTAACACGGCTAAAGCCACACTGTTGGGATCCAGACAGTTGGGCTTTAGCTCTTTCACACATTACATTTCCTCTATACAATAGGTATTGGGAGACGATCACCTGATTTCCACATTGGCTCATACATGAGTATGTTCCGGTCTGTCAACCTTCTGTTAGCCGCCGTAACTTTTCATCAAATTTTCGAGCGTTGCCCTTGTTCTTCTGTTGCTTCTTAAGTTTTTCATACCCATGCATTTCGGTCTCGGGTGTTTTTTCGTCTGAAAATGCGTCTTGCTTCACTCTTCAGCCTATCCCTATCCATACCGTTGTGATCGCTCGCAAGGTTACGAGGTTGGTAGTCTGTTTTCTCTTCACTACGGTTCGATACGAGCTCTATACCTGACATGATTATTGCCTTATGTACATATATCAAGTAGCTAATGAGTGCTCTCAGAGCAAGTCGAGTGTAAAACTGTTCGACTCTCTGTTGTAATTACAGCTTTTCAACACCGAAGCTTCCTTTTTTGTTGACGACCGTTCTTTGACGCACAGAGGCGGATGCGTATCTTCGCTGCGGCAAGATGGTGCTCTGAGTCGATGTCAATGAATTATGTATTAGAATTATGAATACAATAAGGCCGCAATATTCACTATAGCCGTGAGGGTAGCAGTACGTACTACCATACAAAAGAACCCTGGTTCAAAAGTTCTGGTCCGACCAACATCAAAAGAAGAAAAAAAAAGAAGAAATTACTTTGTATACCTTGCATATACATGAAATGGTTTATTAACTTTCGTTCGGAATAAGAGAGTACCAAAAGAAGATGAGATAGCTATGCCTGGGTATTCGTCTGTTTATACATACACTTATTGCTCAGTTTTTGAGATATTTAAACCGTATCCAGATGTATTTTTACATTTCAACTACCATCTGTAGGGGCCCAGCTGGCCGGTCGGACCACTATATCATGTTTCCGATTTGGGATTTGAGATTTTGGCTCTCAAGTCCGTCAAAAAAGTATCTAAGGTCCCTTCATTTTTTGGAAAAACATTAAGATGGAGGAGGAGCTCAGCCGAATATCGCTTAAGCGGTTACAAAGTGCCAGTCATACATACATTTCTCCCGGGATCCTTCTAATCTTCATTGATATAATTGCCATCGTTCAATCTTGTTTAGCTCCCTTGCTGTGTTTTGTTGAGTAAACGAGTGTTCGTGTTACTGGTCACGAAAATGGAAAAACGAAATCAACGCCTCTCGATAAAGTTTTGCTCCAAATTGGTAAAGAGTTCCGGAAATGTACGCCAAAATTGTAAAAGTGCATGGTGGTAGTACTCTTAGTCATGCTCAGGTGTTTCGAGGGGCGTGACTGCGTGTAAGCCGAGACGCGGAGCGGGATACCACAAAGAATTTCTTCCATCGGGGCCAACCAAAAATCAAGTCTAACATCGCCAAGTACTCGAAACAGTGCGAAAACAAGTACCCTGTTGACTCGATCAGACATCGCTCGTAACTGGATCCGTCATCACGACAGCTGTGCCACACCGCCCTCAGCGTGTCCCAGTAGTTGGAAACCCCGTCTAATTCGCCCGATATGGCACCCTGTGACTTTTTTTTGTTCCCTAGAATAGAGTCGGTGGTCAATGGAACCCATTTTGAGGCGATTGCGAACATTCAGGCGGCCGCGACGAAGATACTCGCGGACATCCCAGTCGAAGCGTTCCAAAATTATTACGAAACATGGAAAACGCACTGGAATCGTTTTATAGCTGCCCAAGGGGACTAATTTGAAGGGGATGGCAGAGTTGTGGAATAATTTTGAAATATACTGTTTTTATGGAATCAGTCTCATTACTTAAAACTCACACCTCACAATTCCCACACAACTGGCTGTACGATAGGCAATTGATATTGTTTGCTATAAAAATAGAAAATTGTATACCATAATTTTTATTTTAATAATTTTACCCACCTTAATAGTGGCAAAGTGCACCATATACATAATGTAATATCATCATCCAGATTAAAGAATTTCTCACCTCTCCAACTCACACATACACACATATTTACTTTACAAAGTGCAAACAATCAATGAGGAAACCGCTTTCATTAAATACATACTAAATCTAGACAATTGTCGGCAACTAAAACAAAAATTTCCCATTAAGTACTTATTGCTTGCTAAGAAAAGCCATTTGTTAAAATTGTGCTCTACCGGTGAGCATGAAAAGTAGAGTGTGGTGAGAGAAGCAAAAAAAAAGGAATGGAAAATGAAATGAAAATAATAAAATGAAAAAATCTATGTTAGCTTAAAATGTAGGCAAATCAGCAAATAAATTGACTGATGCCAGGCAAGGCGACGTTAGGGCAATTTGGCACCTAGAATTGCTTCAGGTAGCAATGCGAACTGCAATTGGCACTTTGCCCGTTGAGATGAAGTTGAATGCAGGGCACTAAGTAAATAAAATTAGCATATGGGAATTTAATTAAATTGAATTAAAACTTTATATTATTGATGGGATTTGTATTTTACCTCAAGATAGGCGACACTATGCGACATGTGAATAGTGCCAATGTGATAAGGGACTACAGAAAATATTCTCGATTCTATTGCAAATGAGAGATTTTCTAAAAAAAAAGCGTGAACAATATTGCTCTCAAAAAATTTAATTCAATATGAGTGCAAGTGAGGAAATGTTTTGATTTCCATTCTCCTGGCCAGAAATCATCAGGGTTAGTCCCACCGCATAAAGAAATAAAGGCCTTGGAAGACAGACCACCGTTTCGATGACGACATCCGAAAATATTTTATGGATCCCAATTTAAGTGCATGTATCTGGCATGTCCGTTCTCTTATTTGGGAAGGTTCTGCCCCTAATCTAGTCGATGTCCACTCCTGTGGATGAACGTCTAGCCACAATCCGCATCAACATGTCACTGATTTGTCCCTACATTCCGATGGAAGAGAAGGATGATGTAACCAAAGACGCTTACTTCACAGCGGCTCGAATTATGATTGTCTGTAGTATTACATTTCCACTGTAGAAAATCTGTTCCGCGCAGCGAAGATATGCACACGTCTCTGCAATCAATGCAAACAGGCGAAAAATTTTCTACTCGACTTGCAAACCTGTTTCTTGAGATCACTCATCAGCAACTTGATATAGGGAAACTGTGGAACTGAATCTCGAACTCTCTACATACCGCCGCTACGGAAACAAATAGTTTTCGCCTGTACCAAAAAAAAGAGTGGGCCAATCGATGATGATGGATAAGACGTTAAAATACCTGACTGATTTGAATAGGGATTGCCAGTTTAAAGAACAACAATGCAGCTGGAGTCGATGGCTTAGCGGTTGAGCTATTTAAGCATGCCGCTGAAGAGCTGACAAGGTGTATGCAGAATATGGTGGGACGAGAACTGGGACCCCACTCTAGGATTTACCACCTTAATATCGCATATAAGGTTCTATCGAGTGTATTATGAGTAAGATATTTACTATGTGGCGTATCTTGGAAAAGTCCAGTGAGCAGAAAATCAATGCACATCACTTTTTCATATATTTTATAGCTGCTTACGCCGCTATGTCTGAATTTGGTATCCCCGAAAAAATTTTGCGCTCCATTATGATCGGGAAGGAATTCTCAGAGCCGTTCGATAGCAAACGAGGTTTGAGACAAGGTGATTCCTTATAGTGCGACTTTTTCAACTTATTGCTGAAAAAAAAGATGATACGAGCTGCAGAGCTGAATAGAGAAGGTAAAATGTTTTAAAAGAATATACAGCTCTTGCCAACAGGTGCTACTTTGGACTGAGTAGGCAATTTAAATGTAAAGTCCTCTCACAACGAGCAAAAACCAAAGTCTGTAAGTTGCCCATCTGATGAGTCAGCTTTGGGAGTCTGCTAGGGAGAAGTTTTGCGAATGATTTATGGCCTAGAATGATGAGCTTTACGAATTATATAATGGGATAGATCAGCGAATGAAGAGCAACTAGGCCATGTCGTCCGAATGGATGAAAGCACTCCAGTTTTCAAAGTATTCGATGCAGTACCCATTGGTGGAAGCAGAGAAAGAGGAAGTCCTCCATAGGTCAGGTGAAGAGTGACATACAAAATCGTGTCTCAACGTCTTTAGTTTCAATTAATTTGACCCTTTTTCTTTTTTTAAATATTGCCTTAAATCTTAAAAAATTGGTTGTATTGGAACGATGTTATATATTCTTCTGATTTCGATAATTTTCGGTGAAATTTCTTTTTTTTTATGCATGCGTGTGGAAAGTACCAAATCTCACGCTTTGACAGATTTTGAAAAAAGCCGCTTATCTGAAAAGTCGGTGGAGGCTAATTGTTATAGTCGCGCGCAGGAACCACTCCAGAATGAAATTAACTTTCGATCGGGTTTTCTTTGAAAAAATTGTATATTCTGTAGAAGCTTTTTTTTCGTTTGAAAACAAATTTTTTTTTTATTAAACATGTCAACGACGTATAGTTAATAAAAAAATATATATTCTTAGTTATTAAGCAGATTTTGCAATTAAAGCCAAATTTTTTAAGTGTTGTGAAGTGTACAATTTGGACTGATATTAATACATACATACATATGTACATGTATATGCCATTTATTGCCGAAATTTCTTAACTGTTTTCTTAGCTACATAAATGTGCAATTTTTGAAGTAAAATTTTAAGTTGTCAAGAGCGAAAAAAAGCAACAAAAAAATTTCAAAATAAAAAAAAAAACGGTTTCATATAAAACAACAAAAAATAGTAAAACTGCATGTTAAAAGCCCAAAAAACATATAGACCGAAGCAATTTGAGCACAAAAGCATCAGCTTTCGAGACAACAAGCAACAACGGCAACATCATACAAAGAAACAGCAGCGCAAAGCGTAGTCGCGCTCGCTTTTTTAAATACCAGCGGAGCAACAGGTAAGGTCAGCAACATGACGGGTGTGTGTGCGTATGCGTGTGTACGCTATTATTGCATATGAAGAATTCTGCAATATTGCTAGAGCAATATAAATTAGACTATCATCAGTGTCAATTAAAGATGCCTAGCGGTACAGAGAGTGTCTGCCAGTCTTTGATGACATTGGTTCCTGGTAATAAAGGATTTTTTTCATCAAATTTTACAGTTATGGGTAGCCGCATACGGAATTGTTGTTTAGACAGATGCAACTTAAGCGTTGCAAATGACAATTAACTCACTCACTTTTATTCAACTTCGGTCCAAAGCAGTTACAACACACACGCTCATACATAACCATATGAGTATATATGGTTTGCTGGTGTATTTTATATATAATTGGGATTTTGTAATCGCTGATGTGATATTTGGCCGAGCTCCTCCTCCAATTTGTGGGTTTGCGTCATAATGTTTTTCTAACAAATGGAGGGACCGACAGTTTGTACTAAGCCGTCTCCGAACGGCTGGTGGTTTTTTACGAGGAACCTTTATTTAATGTCAGAAACACATACAGGCGGAGGGGTTGACATTTCCAGTTGTAATTTTCTGTAACTTTTTAGCACGACACTAGGATTTGCACCCGCGCCTGCCGAATGGCAGTAGGCAATGCTAACCACTCGGTTACTGCTGGTATATTATAGTGGAATATTACCTGTGCATCAAGCACCACTAGAGAATACTGGACACTATTGTTGCTCTGGCTGCTTCTGATGTACTAAAGCCATCGTTTCTGCTACTGCTTGAACTTCTGCTGCCGTTCTGCAGTTCGATTTAAGTAGTCTAAGCTTGAGTGTATGTTTGTTTGCTTGTCCGTCTGCTAGAAGGGCCTATCACCATCGATGATGGTCAACTTGATAAGGATAATCGTGAAAATGAAGATGACAATAATGATGATGAGTATTAGAAGATGAAAATGGCCTCAAGTGTATTTGCATTCATGCTAATGAAGCTTCTGTAAATTACTCACACTCACACATGCACACGCTCCCACACACACACATGTACATATATATGTACACTCAGGTATGCCAATATAGTTGAATTTACGCTGCCAACAGCACGTGCTTCATGCAATACACTACTACATATGTACAATACTATCGGTACTTGAATACAATTCTTGTTGAGCCTTTGAGTGCGCTTCGTTGCATGCTGTTGATAGCTTTGTTATTAACTAAGAGAGAATGTGAGTTCTTCAAAAGTGGACACATTTTGTTTTGCATGTGTGGATTTTCTCATATTTATGCCTTCCATCGCGCTGCAGCTTACATTGACTGTTGTAAGTATTTGAAAAATGTAGTTTTATCATGATGGAAAGCGAAGACAAAGATAACACAGACGGTTAGCTATAAAAGGTAAAAAATTATCTATTTTCAACAATTTTTTTAACAGAGAAAACTAAATATTTTATGAACTTTTACTGTTTTATATGTGAAAAAGAAATTTAAAAATTATAAATTAAAAGTTCATAACTCCGCCAATGTCGACAGTAGAATAAGAATTTATGACAGAATCATTCGAAATAAAAATAGAAAATTGTGTTTTAGCTAACACTGTAAGGTAGAATTTGGACGAAGGAAAACAAAAAGCTGAAAATTGGTTTTTTTGGCGAAATTTTTTTCCAAAGCCAGGGTTTAAGTCCTGATACGACCAGCATCCAAAAGCTATAGAAAATTTACTTAAATAATTTCAACCCTTCCTCGTGTATTTCTGACATAAAAAGCCACCAGCCTTTCGGAGGCGGTTCAGTATAAACTATAGGAGCCTCCCATTTTGTTGGAAAAAAACATCAAGACGCAAAACCAAAAATTGGAGGAGGAGCAAAAATAATAATAATGAAATTCTTGCTACAACCCATCGTGAATTGTTCCACGAAAGAGTCTGCGAAATTCCATCAAAATAGGTTGAGTAGTTTTCGAGAACTTTTGGTAATCGACTTTGAAAACATGGCTTCAAGAAAAACGAATTTAAAGCTTAAATCGCTAACCCGACTTGAGTTAGAATACACACCTTTCCAAAGCTCTAACTCTATGCATCGACTTGAAAATTTAAGATAATATCCTCAAGATGTTGTAGAACAGAAAAAGACCATAAAAAAGCAGATTTTGTGAAGCTTCGAAACTTTTAATGTTTTCTTTTGTAGTAGCGCTGACAAATTGCACATTGAGTTAGCACAAACTTAATTATCTAGATCTTGTGCTGAGTAGAGTTTTTTTTATTAAAATTATGAACGCGTTTTTGATATTGAGTGTACTTTTAGCTATTATCTCTTTGGCATCACTGGTTTAAACAGCTGACGCACGTTTCGTGTTTTGTACTAATGTCAAATATCTTCAGTTTGGTCTGTAATTTAACCACTAATCGTCTTACAAACGAACAACGCTTGCAAATTACTGAATTTTACTATCAAAATGCATGCTCTGTTAAGATAGATCATTGCGTGATTCAAATCTCATTTTTGCCTTAATGCGTACGTAAATAAGCAAAAATGTCGATTTTGGAGTGAAGAGCAGCTAAAACTACTACAAGAGCTATCAATGCAACCAGAAAAAGTCACAGTTTGGTGCAGTTTATAGGCTGTTGGCATCATTGGACCGCACTTATTCGAAGATAATGCGAATCCTAACGTAACTCTGAATGGTGAGCGCAACAATGGTGAGATGATATCAAACTTTTTTTTGCCCAAAATGAAAGAGCTTGACTTGCATTGCATGTGGTTTCGGCAAGACGCTGCCACATACCACACAGCACGCGGAATAATGGGCTTAGACTATTTTTCGTTGGGCTCTGTTAAATCTTATTTCTCGATTGACGCGTTGGAGCACAACATTAAAGCATTTATTTATCTTACGATGGCCCAAATGTTGGAAAGAATATGCCAAAATTGAACTAAGTGGATGGACCATTTGAGGAGCACTCACCGTCTTGCATTTTTCTGTATTAGACATGTTTTTTTTTTAACTTTCCCGTAGCTCTTAAGAAAGCGGCCTTCATAATTCCCTTCGTAACTGAAATTGTAACCTATAATCTTGCTTTGAGCCCCAGTATAATTGAATTTACCGGAATTTTATTTTAACCCGACTTCAACGAATGACCGAAAAAATCCAATGGACGGTAGATGGATGGTAGATTAAATTATTTTCTATGGTTTTTTTATTTTATATTTTTTTTTATTATATTTTTTTTAAATACGCCGATGTCATGCCCCATTCTTGGAACGATCCCAAGTTCACTTCCTGAAAAATCTATTCTTATAGAATGTCTTCACGTTTCAGGTCTCTACGATCTTTGGCTCAGGCTTTGGGTTGGTCCATCAGCCGTTCGTTACAAACCCTTTTATATTATTTATATATTCATATGGGATTATGTCTCTAAAAATTATAACTTTTAATTAAAACACAATCTGTTTTAGAGTTGTTGTAAATTTCATTACTTTTTTGGAAATCACAGTTGAGGTTTACTACTATTTTTTTTTTGAATTAGTATTTATTAATTTTCCCGAGATATAGCTTACGATTACAAAATAAGTTTCAACCAAAAATATTTATTTAAACTTTTCTACTTTTATGCGATTTGGGTCCACTTGAGTACGTTTGATATAGCAATACAATAATTTAGCCACTCGGGCATTACAATTTGCACGTATTCTTACTTGTTTGTTTTTTGTTTTTATTTTGCCAAGTTGAAATAGCTTCAAGTGTGGCTCTTTTGTTTTATTCAACTCTTTTCCTTCTATGCAGCCCAACTGGTGTTGTCAGCAATTTTTCAGAGAATTGAAGACATTCTACTCTGGGTGTTAGGCGTGCTGCACAGTGGCACTAAGCTGATAAGTTTTGGAAGAAATTCAAATAAAGTGGCATATTAAATATAAAAGTATTCAACAATAAAGCTGAATGAACTATAACAATGCCTACTTAGTCAAGGACTGTAAATGGGATAATGGAGTGTCAAGCTTCTAGTTATACTGTTACAGTTGCGCGGCTATACTCAATTCCTACTCTTGCGTCCACGTCGCGCACCCTAGAAACGTGAGCAACCCTTGGGAAAGATGCGGTAACCAACCCGTGTGGAGCCTTGTTTCACGGCTAATGAGAGAGGAAACTTCAGTAGACACACTCCGACTTATTCTGTTTAAGGGTCTCCTGAAGTTTAATTGTAGCGTCTGTGCACCAGAGGTGCGGCTGCTAGCCGTCCAAGAAGTGCGATGGACGGAAGAGAAGGACGATTTGGCCAAATATGCCCTTTATGAGCGCTTAGAGCATACTTACGAGCGCTGCCCCCGACACGACGTGAAAATCGAGCTTGGCGAATTTAGTGCCAGGGTGGGCAAAGAAGGTATATTTGGTACGACTGTTGGACAATTCAGTATTCACAACGAAACATCCCCAATAGGGGTTGAGGCTGATTGGCTTCGCCGCAAAAAAAAAATACTACTACTTGGCTGTTCCCCGATCGAAAAGCACAAAACCAGATCGATCATGTTGTGATAGATGGAAAACATGTCTCCAGTATTCTTAACGTGAGTATACTCCTAGGACTCAACATCGACTCGGACCATTATCTTGTTGCAGCAAAGATAAGCATGCGCTTCTGTGTATCGAAGTACGCCCGTCAACAAACCCAAGGAAAGATCGACGTTGAAAGGCTGCAATCACAACAGACTGCCGAACGATGTTCTTCTCGACTTGCACTCCTACTCTCTGAGAGCACTCATCTGTACGATGTCTCTGAGCATTCGCATTAGCCACTAGAGTAAAGATTGTCCGAAACCGATTCATGTTTGCAGAAATTATTGTGTGATTTAGAGAAAAACACGTTTAAGTATTTCAGTGTACTCAGCGCCCGCTTCTCAGCTGCGCTAAATAAAAAGTTCAGGTACTTGAAATATTTTTTTTTAACTTGAAAACCAATTGCATATCATTTCATGGACCTTAAGGCACCCTGTGAGTGGCTTTACGGCTTC